GAAAAGTTTTGGCATACCCGAATAGGAAATCGCACCGAGGTATTTCCCAAAACGGCAAGCCCGGCAGGGGCTGTGGTCCATGGTCTGCTTGCGCAGCCAATGAAGTGTCTACAAAAAGCCTACTCGTCTGGAGCCGTCCTTGGAAACTGTTTGGAAACTGGTCGCCAAAAATTTCCAGACCGAGAGCCGAGTAGAAACGCCCCGTTAGCTTTTCCACGACCTCTTTCCAACCGCAGTGGGTTCTGAAATTCCTTTCCGGACCGACTTTCCACGACGGTTTCCAACACCTGTGGGGTCTGAAAAACAATTCCTCACCAAAACTTTTCCACGCCGCCGGCCAGTGGGGTCCAAGCCTTAGGCTTGGATCCCACATGATCGCGCTTTTAACAAAAAGTCGGAAAAGTCCCGTAGGAGCAGGGACCTTCCCGTTCGCACCGTATAAATTTTTTTGGACTCCACAGGCCCGTCCTTCGAGGGGCTTTCGCAAAAAGCCTGCCGAAATATGTTGGTCCATTTGCGTCCAACCCAATCACGCTGCCATAAACGGAAAAAGAAAAAGAAAAAAACTTTTTTCGTGCTCGCGGCTTTTAGGGAACAGGGCAGGGGGCTGGCGGCTTTTAGGGATCAGGGAAAAATCGAGGTCTCATCGCCGCGAGTGTCACGGTACGATTGACACGACAGGTACAACGAGTAGAAACAGCCGAATTTTATTTCCCGTCCCGAAAGCCCCGGTGCATTGTGGGATCCAAAATTTTACCCAAAATTGCCTCACTAAGGCTAAGATCCCACATGGCGCTTTTAACAAAAAGTCGCAAAAGCCCCTCGAAAGGAGGGTCGTTACCTTTTGGTCCGTAAAAAGTTTTTTGGACTCCACAGGCCAGTCCTTCGAGGGGCTTTCGCAAAAAGCCTGCCGAAATATATGTTGGTCCATTTGCGTCGGACCCAATCGCGCTGCCGTAAACGGAAAAAAAAAAAAAAATTGTTTTCTTGGTGCTGGCGGCTTTTAGGGAACAGGCATAGGGGCTGGCAGCTTTTAGGGGTCAGGGGAAAATCGAGTTCTCATCGAGGCGAGTGTCACTGTACGATTGACACGACAGGTACACCGAGTAGAAACAACCGAATTTTATTTCCGGTCCCGAACGGCCCGATACCTTGTGGGATTCGAATTCCGGCCCGAAAATGGCCTCACTAACAATAGTGGGATCCTACCCTAACAATAGTGGGATCCAAGCCTTAGGTAAATCCTTTTCCCCAAAGGGACAACGTTTGGGCGCGATAAAACCTTCGAAAATGCAGCAGGTAATGTAGGCGCTGATCCGACAGTACTTCAGACGTAAGGGTCTGATCCCACATTACATACGGAAACGAAATCCGTAAAAGTAACGAAAAAGCTTGGCCCGCTCCGGACGGACCGTGAAAGGAAAATTGCATCCCACAACTCCGAAAAGAATGACCCTCTTACAGGCATCGCGGTGTCGGGCGGCTGCCTACCAGCCGATGGGTTTTTTCTCTCTAAAATAGAAAGCATTATTCTTCCTTTTCTGTTTTTTTCATGATTTTGGTGCATGCGTCCTTGTGGGAATGATGTTTTTGATGTCTTCGGGTTTCCGGGCCTACCTGCTAACCTTTCGATTGGCGAGAGGGGACGGTCCGAATCTTGGTCGCAAGCGGGCACATCCGGATCACGAGAAATTGGACTTTCCGATGTCAGAATCTAAAAGTGCGGGGTGAACGGGGTGCATCGAAGCGGGCTTTGGCCGGGTCTAAAACGAAGGACAGCCAAGACGACGGTTCCGAAAGATTGCCAAGCTACCGCTACCATACGCAGTGGGATCACCTCGCTCCTAGCTTGGGCATTGGTTCCAAGGGATCGAGAAGGGCCGCAAATCTTCGCAATACAATATGGCCGAAGATCCAGATTCCGCGACCACGCGAGATATGGCAAAGTGAGGATGGTCAGCAGCCTCGGGCCTCTCCCACCAAGCCAAGAGTCTGGGGCAGAGCCCAGGATAGGAGGACGCACTGGCCACGAAAGGAGCCCGGACGTTTCGGGTGTGATGATCGGAAGACGGCGGGTCGCGGATCTGGGCTTCGCATGCGAAGCCGGTGCGAGGGGGAGGGAGTTTGGGATCTGGGAACATTGCGGATGCGGACTGTGTAAAGAAAGAGGGCAAGCGAATAACTGCCGAAAAAGGGGGGATCACATGGTGAATCGAGGGGCTAACGGGAGATAGGAGGACCGGTATTGAAGAGGGACGATGGACAATCAATGAAAAGGAGAGATGAAAGGTATCAAGTGCCCCAAGAATGATAAAGGGGGAGGTTTTCGAAGAATGGTCAGTTTAAACGGTTAGAATGTGAGGCGAGCGCACTTGCTGGTAACCAACCGTCGGAAGGTGAGTAAGTGAGAGCGCGCACCCCCTTTGTTGGCAACTGCTTTGCTGAAGTCGGAACGAACGAAATGGGAGGACACAGAAACGTCAAAATCCCCGATCATAAACGAGTCGTGGCTGGCGAAATGCGATAAGGGGGGGACTGGACGAAGACGGAGGAGGAAGATCAAGGGACTCAGGGAGCATGGCCTACGAGTGGTGAACGACTTCGTCCCTGTGTTTTCTGGCGATCGCCCTGGAAGAAAGCACGTAACGGGGTCTGTGGCAAGGTGGTGTGGAGGGGAGGATGCACCCTGACCGAAAACAAGTCTGAATACGGAGTCATCTGGATCGATTGAAGGTGATAGCTGGCAAAGGCGGAAGAGCTCCTTAAGCGGGAAAGAGAGGAACGAGGGTGCAGCGGGAGGAAGTCCGGACGCGGTCAAGCGGGAAAAGGAGAAATTTTCCAAAAATTTGATGACGGACGGCGGGAAACCAAAATGTTGAAGGAAGTGGGAGGAGAAATGAAGAGAGGAGAGKGATTGGCGGAATGAGAGGGAAGAAGGATCGAAAAAAGGTGGGCTGAGAAGTATAAAAGGAGGGGGGGTATGCTAAGTGAAGGAGGCGTACGAAGGTAGTTAGGGGCGCCAGATCACTCGTCGCTCGTTCACAGGGCGCACGGAGATAGAGGAGGTTTCTCGTTTACAGACGCACGGAGAGCACGAGAGTTCGCGCCTTCCAAAACGTACGACGGAGAGCGCTAGCTGGATAAGGAAAGTAGAGAAAAGGGGAGTCCGGGTTGCACGGGTATAGAGAGGGGAAAAACGAGAAGAAGGGGGGGATGCTCGACATCAGCGATCGGAAGGGAAAGAGAGAGGGAGAGAAAGAGAGAGAAAGAGGTAGGGAGCTCGCGTACTTCTCCCGCGACCGTAGCACACCGGGAAAGGGCGGGGAAGAAGGCGCACGAGACCGGCGCACGTAGTCATCTCGCATACCTGCGTAGGGAGACGCACTCGTCCACTGATCGGGGAGTCCGACAGCGGTATCAAGAACGGCGAGGAGAGAGCCGAGCTTTTAGCGTACGAGGGGATTGGGATAGCGTGAGGAGCGTTCTGGGAGCGCTCGTGCTTTACGCGCTGAGCACCCGGCTCCGATGGAGCGCACAAAGGGGAGAGAGGAACACTTGGAGGCGCGGACCCTTTTGTAACGGACGAACGACGCTCGAGAAAGTAAGAGAGGTATAGAGGAGGAGCAAGAGAGGGCCCTTTTGTAACGGATTTTAAGGTTCGAGCAACGTTGACGTCGTTGGAGCAACATTCAAAGAAACATTCGTGCGTAAAAACGACGTTGCATTTTGCAAGCAACCAATTTCCAACGTTGCTATCGTGACATAAATGTTGATCAAACATTGCTTCATGCATTGGCAGAATTAACTACAACATTGTTACAAACTTTTTGTATTATTGATATGAGGATTTTCGAAGATGAGAGAGAGAAAGAGAGAGAGAGAGAGAGAGAGGTAGATGCGCTAAATAGAGAGAGCGAGAGATAGACGTTGGAAAGGTGGTTACAATCTGTGTTGTTTTTATGTCATCTCAAGAAGGGGAGCCTAACCTCCTTTCCGACAGTTGATCCCTCTTCGAGAGAGAGAGAGAGAGAGAGAGAGAGAGAGAGAGAGAGAGAGAGAGAGAGAGAGGTCTTTTCGTAAAAGTTGTGGGGGGGAAAAAAAAAAGTACATGTCCGTGTTGTTTTGGAAGAAGGCATGGTCATTTTGCACATCCGTTCCTCTTTGGTATTTTCCCCTCACACCCCGACTGTTATTTGAAAAATGGAAATCAGTGCGGACGGGTCGAACCAGGGCACTCGGTTGGCTCGAGGCGCAGTAGGGGAATTAAGGGCAGACAGTGGGGAGGTGGGAGGAGACTCGGAGTGTCGGTGTCCGTGGGGGAGTCCAGTGTCACTGGCTCCAACCAGCCACCTTTCGGCTTGTTATCAGGCCGTTCCCCGCCTAGGCCTGTGTTCCCCGCCTAGGCAGATGTTCATAGGGGGAGGGGTAGTCAGGGAGGCACAAGGACTGACCGTTGGCCGGTGTCCCCCAAAAAGGGGTTCCGTGAAGGCAATAAGGCCATCCTGGGCTGAAAAGGCCAGCCTGTGTCAGATTAGACACAATATTGAATTTACGTGGGCTGGTTATTCCGATGCTAATACCTCAACGCCATCGCCCTAAAAAAAAACAAAAAAAAAACAAAAAAAAACAAAAAAAAAACAAAAAAAAACAAAAAAACAAAACAAAGAAAAGGAATGGTAGCCGCCTGGGCCAGATCAGACCTGCCTGGGACCCATTGAATCACACGGCCGGCCGGCGCACCCGGCCGACCCACCGGGCAAACCACCGCGATTTGAAATAACGGTGGGTTTCTGCGCATCTCGGCCCCATAGCGCAGAAGGGGGGCTCCTACGCACCTAACGGCAAAAAAAAACAAACGGCACACCTTTTTTTTTGCCGGTTTTTTTTTTTTTCCCACCGTTTTCTTTTTTCCCGCCCTCACCGGTGCCGAAAGGTTGACGTCCTTGCCTACCCTGTAGCGGACGGTACTCCCCTTTGTCGACACGCCCCGCCATTCGCTGCTCTGCCCTTCTTCGCTACGTTGCCCTTCGTCGCTACGCCCTGCCCCTTCGTCGCAAGCGACCGGATGCTCCCAGGTGAGATGGTCATCCTCCTCTTGCTCCTTTCCTCCTCTTCCTTCTTTCCTCCTCCTCCTCCTCCTCCTCTCCTCCTCTTCCTCCTCCTCTTCCTCTCCTCCTCTCCCTCCTTTTTTTCCTCGTCTTCATCCTCCACCATTTCTTCCTCGTCTTCATCCTCTTCCTCCACCTTTTCTTCCTCCTCCTCTTCCTCGTCCTTTTCTTCGTCCTCTTCCTCCTCCTTTTCTTCCTCGTCTTCATCCTCCACCGTATCTTCAGGCACACAGAGAGAGAGAGAGAGAGAATAACTGTGTGTGTGTGTGTGTGTGTGTGTGTGTGAGAGAGAGAGAGAGAGAGAGAGAGAGAGAGAGAGAGAGAGAGAGAGAGAGAGAGAGAGAGA